TTCCAATAAAAGATATAACATAAAAGTAGTTCATCCGCACACAGCAAACAAATAACAAAGTCAAATAAGCAGAGCTTTTATTTTCTAGAATGATGTGTGCCGGTACTACAATCCAAGACAGAAAGAGGGGAAACAAGAAGTTAAAATCCTTCCAGTAAAATGAAGCATTTATGTTTCTGACGGCGATGAGTATGAACATGGAGGCCGTAAGCACTTATTAAACATCGGACAATAGAAACAGATCAGTACTAAACCACCTCAGATATTCGTACTCGTAAATGTGTTAGAGCTAGATTAAAGCCGCTCAACGCCTTTACAATTTACGACTCGTCGACTTATCGAACAGAGTTCCAAGCAGCTTCGTGATTGTTTGATGGTCACTGTTTAAAGCTACTTTTAAGACCACTTTCTTGTTAATCGACCAGTATGAAGACAATTACTTCGGATAAATTTGTACTACAGGTAGGTTGGAAAAAACTCCAGCGAGCAGAATTGAGCTGTAACATTAAGAAAGCCATTATTCTTGCAACATAACTCCTCAGACTCCCATTCAGTAGAAGTTAGTAGAGCAATTGTAACTGTACTAATTCCATATCTATCATATAGACGAGCACGAAGATTTCTGTGCTTTGAGTTGTTACTCCGTGTAGTCTGGGAGAAGTTTACCGACGTTTCTGAGGTACTTATTGCCTCTATTATCAGGGTGATGATTAAGCCGTATGTGAAATAGTGGGTTAAGATATAGAAACAAGTCGGGAAGGCAGAAGCTTGGATGGTCGAAGTCAAATAGATCAACGGAGCCAATGAGAGAGTTTTGTGTACCACAGCCTGGTAGAGGGTGAGGGAGATTTAACCATTAAAGTGGACAGCAAAATTCAATATTTCTAAGAGACTACACGGCGAAACATCCCAGAAGACAGTCACCTTTAGTTTAAACAGATTCACATTACGAAGACCTAATAACTGATGATGGAGGCAGCAAGGATCTCTGAAACGTCTGTAATCTTTTACCAGACTACCCCGCACAACAACCCAGAAGACAGTAATCTTCTAATAAAACAGCTTTCTCTTGGGAGTTGACGTTGAAGTAGGGCACAACAGGTTTCAACAGCTCTGTTAGATAATCGAAGATTTAATCAGTCATAAAACTTAAACATTAAAACCGCCTCTATTGGACTAGTGACGAATATGTCAGTAATTAAACTGCTGAAATAAGTTACCGATCTCTGGACACGTACAAATAGTAGCTGGCTGATACCGCGGCGACCACGTGAGTCAAGTTTCATTGCTGAAAGGCTACTTCCTCCGCGTATCTTTTCACACTGTGCAAAGAGGAATGGACCACAATGTGCTGATTTATGTGGAATCGTTGACTAACAGAGACAGAGCTAGGGATCTGGATAGGATACAGGAATGGGAAGAAGGATTAAAAGAAAGAAAGAAAGAAAGAAAGAAGAAGAGTGTAATAAATTATGCTCCTTTCACAACAGAAATTAGAGAATGAATTACTTCTATCTCTCTCTTCCACTACCACAAGCTCTGGCTTGTGAGTGGTGGAGTACTTGGAGCGTTATTAATGGCATTAAGAAAACGAGAGTTCACGAGCTAGAATAATTACATTTACCAACTCGAAGGTGTCAGAAATAGCGTTTCCAATATACAGAGGTAATGCAGTACTTTCTTTATTCTAATATTACGCCTGGAACACTTCACACAGCTGAGTTTCGAGAATGCGTACTATGTTACCTACAGCCTCTTCTTCTACCCCCACCCCGCACCCTTCTAGAGCTGCACTTTTCATTTGTGTCAACATGCCTAAGTGCAGACAGGCCTACGTGAAATTTTACCTCGGCCAGTGACTTTAATCCGCGTGACAGAATTAAATATTCTCTCCCTAATGTAAAGGTATTATTATCATAATCATCACCACCATTAAAATTATCAGCGTCTTAATTCAATACCATAATACTTCGTTATAACCTAACAGGTGTGATACTCATTGGTTTAGATATTCATTTATTACAGACACAAATCTATTGTAGCTAAACAAATATGAACGTAGATAGTCAGTAAGTGCTCTGTGGTGCGTTAAACATTCATTATATCGAAAAAAGGTTTTAAATACTCGTAAAAATTTCAGAGCTTAATGCGTTGTATACTTTACGCCATGCATCAATAAATGAGCAATTATTTTATATAAAAAAAATGAAAGTTCGATTTTAATTACAGATAAAGCCGAGATTATAGCGAAACAAATTTAAATTCGCTTACCAAATTTGTCCGCGTCATTTATCTTACAGAAGGGCAGGAGGAAGATCTGCGCATGCTCTGACCAGTACTAAAGTCCAAAATAAATTTATCCTTTATACGCACAGTTTGAGCAGCGTGTGTGCACATAACAGTGGCGCTAACACCGCTGAGCATAATACTGTTTTATAGGTTGTTATCCCACTATAAAACCAAGCCGCAACGAAGCGAAACAAAATCACTACAATGGAGTACAGAATCAGGGCAAAATGACGGGGACGAATCAGTTCTTATGCAGAAATGCCTGTCGACACGAATTATCAACCTTTCCGTCGCGTAGATGCGTCATCACCAGATACATTTTCAGACACTCTGTATTAGATTAGATTTCCGATAGGACCGGCTTGTTTGAGGGATGTTCTTCAGTAGCTGTGGTGACTTGCGAGTAGTTTCAGTGGAAAAGAGAAAGAAATGTCTTGAAGGGAGAAATGACAAGGAAGGTGGCTTCTAATACGAAAATGTCAGGGTGCCGAAGAGTGAAGTGGAGACCACACCCCTCCATCCTATCAGATACATTTCCACTTCTATGCCATTCGCGTAGCCTTCCACACTTCGCACACTTGTTCGAATAATCTCCCTTTTTGTCTACATTTCTGGGGTGCAAACTCTACGTAGCGCGGAACAAACACTTCGTTTAATTTTACGTCAGTTTCTCGAAATATAAATTCTGTCTCTTGTACACTCTAAATTGAAGAAATAAACCATCGACACACGTGTTACCGGATTCCCTTAGAAACGGAAAACACCTCACGTTAATAACCAGTTTTGCTACATCATGTCTTAATACTCCAGTTCGCAAACTAAACGTTACTTTTTATTACACCGAGTAAGTGTTTCAACTGTTCTAACATATTTTTACAAAAATCTGCTTGCTTTTATAAACTACCTACTCATTCGACAACAATTCCCTAACGACGGAGGCAGTATGACCTCTGAAACGTTGGTAATCATCTACCAGACTACACAGCGCAACAACCCAGAAGACAGATATCTAAATACAGCATGTTTATCCGAATCGCTGCCATACTACGCGGCGCCAAAATCCAGAAGAACATCGCCATTAAGGGGACAATCATTTGACTCATATTTTCTCTAGTACCTGTCCAATGCAGAACGGGTGTACAACTAATATTACATTTTTTTTACAAAATCCAGTCCCAAGTTCTAAGAATTCAATTCTGCACACTGCAAAACATGGGACCACAGAGACGGAGAACTGACTTGTCAGTGTTCGCTGCGCAGGTCCTCTCATCAGACAGAACAGAAGACAAGAGACCGGAGAATTGAGAAAAAACACTCATGTTGAAGAAAGTTACGACAAACCTATCCCAGCGGCTTCCTCAAGTGAGATGGGGAAAGACAGAGCAGGACACAAATGGCGGTTAAAATGTGAGGGGGGGGGGGGGGGGCCTCAGATCGCCTTTCCTTTCCATTCCAGTGGCAGCCGTCGTGCAGCTATCAGGCCTTAACACCCCCGCCATCAATCAGAGCCTGCCACAGAAAACCAGGCAGCAGAGCCATCCGAAGAGGCAGCTGGCAATCTACTGCACCAGCAAAATTCCCTTCCTCAATCTTTCATTCCCTCGTTACCTTAATCATTCAATCTTCATTACTCAAGAGACAAGACAGTAAGAAATTTCATGGATTTCCTTAGATACTCCCAGGTTAAACAACGTGTTACTTCGTGTAAGAGCAGTGCGAAGTCGACACAATACGGCATGGGTAAGTAGCCATCTATAATAAAGTAATAATTACTGTTTGGTCTATACGCCACGTGAGGGCCTTAGGGCGCGGACAACTAACATTGACTCGGGGGCGGTATCATACTGGCTTCCTGTTTGACATGAGACAGTGAGGTAACCCTGCGATTAACGATATGCGATGATTGTATATCATTAACCACAATTGAAGCACGAAACGCATACAGATAAACATAGAAAAGTCAAGTCCGTACTGCAGAAAAAAACACAACGTTTCTCAAACGCAGAGATCAAGGTCTTTAGGGAAATAATCACTGTTTGTTACTTGAGAGACAAAATTTCGTCAATGAAATTTCGGCACATCGTATGGCACGATATTCATCCTGCTAACTGTTGGAATGACAAATAAGCAGCAAATGCTGTCTCACTTCTGCACGTAACACTGGGAAACAATGCAAACACAATGGATACTGGCGCGACAGGCACATAAATACTCCGAAATGAGCGTCCTGTTTTCGTGCAAATTACGTTATTGTCTGGGGGGATTGTTACCTACTTGAAAGCGACGTTCGCTTGTCTCAGTATCGGATTCTGGTTATTAAAAGCAGGATTGGAGAACATAATCTCTGAATTAGAGACAACCAACATACGTTTTTAACCAAATATACGATATTGAACAACGACAGAGTACTTAAATTATGATTGTGGGACAGTGCGACACTGGAAAATACTTTTAACTTCCGCGAGGAACAAATTAGAATTCATAGCATTCGCTTTCCATCTTCGCAGGAAGGTGGGGAGACGAGGCGGAGAGAGTTGGGAGGAGCCAGACCTCAGGAATGAGAAAACACAACCACGAGATGGAACACGGGTTCATGGAAGCAGAAAGAAATGGTCACGAAAAATGTACAAGAAAAAAGGAAAGTTAGACACAAGGGAAGAATAGAAATAAATACAGTCAAATAAAGAAACAAAGAACGAAAGTACACTTACGTCCTTGTGCCTCAAGATGACTCTGACGCACTCCTCTCCCAGGCTGCAAAACAAGACAACAGATGTTAGTTTTTAAATTTTAAAATTCTGTTAGAATACAGAAATTCTGCAATCATTAAAAATTACAGCTCAGAATAGAAATTTTAGCATTTTATTTGTTTCCATTTGCCATTGTGATTAACGGAGGAACATTTCGCAAAATTATATCAAAATTAATCAGACCAATTCTTATACGCCTGATAACCAGACTTCATGCAATACAATTTCTGTAATGTTCTTGACTCTTCTTTATTATCTAGAATTTTTCTTGTGCAGGCTTTTTATTTGAAGTAGAGGGGTGTGAAGGCAAATGTCGAAAGCAAAACTAGAAAAAATCGTTAGGAAATTATGTGCGTTTCAGATAAAATTACAATTTCCCACAGCAAATCTTTAATGTAATTTGATTTCCCATGCTCAAGACATGGAGAGATCAGTTCATAAACACAATAAAATATCAAGTAATTAGAAGAAGGGTACAAGATGTACTGAGTTGATTATTTCCTATTAAATCTAATCTTTCCGCCTTGAAACTGCATGCAGCCTAATTTACTGCTGTCAAATAAATACGCCCATAACTCAGCAGATAAAATACAACAGCATAATTTTAATAACGCATCTAATCAAAGACCATGTTGTTACTTAGGGTTAAAGATTTCATTGCAGAACTTTTGCAGTATAAATTATAATAAAATTTTGTATTAAAGACACCGTTGTTCGCTTAGCAACGCTTATAATCCCCAGGTGCGTTTCATTCAAATTGTCAAATGTTTGCGAATATTTCCTTTGCTTCAACATCATATTTTATTAAATTGTGGCCTACAATTTCAAAATGGCATAACAGCTACCTCCTAGTTGATGAATATGCGCTCTCTTAATAAATCACGTCTGACGTCTGTGGGCAACAGCTACTTTTAACGAGACACACTGTTCGCAAGAGGATTAAACTGTGCATCTTGAGAAATGCTTAAATATGATGCGATTGCTTAAATTTTCTAAGCAGTAGGCATATAGGCAAGCATTTGATCAGAACGTTTCCATATGAATACAAACACGCGTGAGACTGTAAATACTGCCACACACGAAATATTTGATTCTTACGACATTAGGAGTGGAATTTGGAATCTGGTATTACTCTTAGACATATAATATGATTTGTATGTAAACGATTTCGAACGTTTAAAAATGTGTAATACTGACCCAATAAGAGATGTCGATGGAGGTCTTCTGGGTTGTAACGCAGTGTAAATTTATGTAATTGAACATTTCGAGCTCATTTCTTTTTATCATTTCGTTGAGTTCAAACTATTTCTCTATGAAATTTGGACGTTGACTGGCTCACTGTCCATTTCTCAGGCGATACATGACTGAATTTGGATGTGATGGAATTAATGTTAACAGGAGAATACGCAATAGTCGGACGAAAACCCGTCTCAGAGCCAAACCACCACATCACAAAGACTGAACCGACCGCGACGCAAATTTGTACATACATTTCTTCTAATTATTAAGATTCATTCTGTGTTTGTACCGTCACAAAGAGCAAAGGGTTAACTAGCAATGATCTTTCGAATTCGTGTTACTGATGGAATAATTGTTCACTGATTTCAAATTAAACTGAATGCAATCCTCTGAGTACATCCTAGAACGAATCGCTCTCAAAGGACACAAATAATGTCTTGAAACGTAGCCCCGAAACTCACGTAAAAGATAGAGTAAGCTGAAGCACTTTGTAGCGATACCAAGTAACATTTTAGAAACGAACGAAACTAACCTGAATGAGAAACTGAGCACACAACGAAATGACAAAAAGCGATCCCGTGTTAGTCTATTTTTTTTAAATTATTTTATCTCAACAGGTGCGCGCAAAAGACGTCAATAACTCAATTCGTCTTAACTACTTCATCAGCCGACTCGTTTGTAGAGGTGATACTTCGTCTTTTTTTTGAATTTGGTTTCATCTCTTTGGTCCGCAAGAATACGTGCAGTTCTTTTTTTATCCTGACTGCATAGAGTGAAGTACGCCGTTAAACAGTATTTCGAGAGATTCAGTCGACAGTATTATAAGGCAGGAGTGTAATTAATGGCACAATGCAAGAGTTACAATAAAGTAACGAAAGAGACGGAGAACAGTCCAAGCGCTGGGCGTGCATCAAGCTAGTCTTCTGGGTTGCAATGTGGCGTGGACTTGTAGGTAAACCGACGTTTCGGAGGAACACATGACCCTGATTGCTGAGCGTGTTCTTCTAAAACGTTGTTATCTAGCTAAAATTTCAGGCGGTGTTACATACCTTACATCTAGATCAAGCTTTTACATATACAGGTGACTCTGGTTATATGCAATTTCGCATATCCGCTGAGTGTCATGAAGGAGTCGGTAACCTATCCATGGCCGAATTTTAAAGTTTATTCCTTGCGTCGAACCTTCTCCAGGCATATCAGGGAATGTGATGCAGATGATAAAATTTGCAATAAAGAATCCTGTTTTCAGTTTAACGTCAGCATTGCAATTTTCATACGTTAATTTTTTTAAGCGTTGTCGTTATATAACACAACTGTCACTTTCCAAATCACAGATCTAACCACATGACTCACCACCAAGCGCTAGAAAGTTTTCCTTATAAGAGTCAAGTAATACTCCGAAGAAGCAATGGAATCAGCTTTCGAAATATCAGCATGGCGCCGGCTAGTAACAGTGGCTTTCAACTTAATCGGTAAACGCACTTCATTTAACACAAAATAGTGTGAACCGACTCTCCTAATTCAAAGTTGCTAACAGTCACGTGATTTTTAATTTGAACAACATTCGACACCATTTCGCAGATTTTATTTTCAAATAAGAGATTCACGTATATTCTTCTCTTACGTAATCGTGCTTAGTTCTCATATAACATTTGAGATTTGAGGTTTTCACGGCGTCGATTATGAAGACGACTGCCTCCTCCGACAGAAGTTTACAGACTTTTCAGAAGCGCTTTCTGCCTCCATCATCAAGGGCAAAGAGTGATCAGACTGGAAATACCTTTACAAACGGTAAAGATGAGTCATTGTACAATAAAGCGTAGGAACACAGATAGAACAGTCCACCTTTCCTCCGCGGATAGTGCATGTGGACTGGTTCCATTGTATTCTTGTGGAGACAGCGTTAACAAGTTTGTCGGCGTGGTTTTATCAAGATCCTGACTACAGAGCCATACGTTGAGACGAGAGTCTGGTAGTTTACGTGTAGATGATGCCTCTAAATCCCCGTTTCAGCCTTCCTAAAATCTCATCAGCTTTACGTCTTCTTTTTCTCCTCGTTTCTTTCGCCTCAACCGACCAAACGTAGGCGAGGATTCGCACTCAGCAACCTTTCTGCTAATTGGTCGCTTTAATCAGCGGTTAGTAATCCTTTTTCACTGAAATTTAAACACTTAGCTGACGATGACAAAATGAGGTTTCCACTTACAGAAATAAAGCAGATAAGAATCACTGACTATGGATTAGGTACTTAATTCTGTATTTCCAAATCAATTCAGTTTTTAAGTTACGTCTCTACAGAGATTCTTATAATCTCAATCTCATTAAACCTCTGGTAAGGAAATGTTCTTAGATGATGAAAGAAGAATTTGAAGGGTACATAATGAGATGAACACGAATTAAAACTTTTGTAAATTTACATCTTGCTTTTGCCAAAGAGTCGACATTGCGAATAACTGTAACTGTGTGAGAAATTAAACACAGCGCAGAGCGTCACATCAGTAACATTTGCAAAGGACAAGAAGCAGAAGGCATTGGGGGACCGATAATTCCATGAAGAACGAAGAATAAACAAAAACATGCTTTCAGATCTAAGCAAAACTCAGCTAAGAAAAATTTATAAGACGTGAGTGTGAAATGTACTGGAACCATACCCTTGGATCTAGATTATTTAAAGACGTTGAATCCTGTGAAGCGATTCTGTGGTTCCAAAAATGTGACTGATCATAGTCGGTGAAAGGGGAAAAATTTGTGAGAGAATAGTTGTGGCCGATTCCAAGGTACAGCATTCACTTTCGAGGACTGAGAATGACGACGAATGACCCAGGATAGTCGATGTTATTCGACCATGGCACCTAATTCATTCAAGAAAACAGAAAACTAGGAAACAAGGACGTAGATGGAGGGTAAGATTTAATTATGTTTTAAATAAATTTAACGTGAGAGTCTGAGATACATCCCTTAAAATGCAGAATTTTTTTTGGCCAGTTTAATATATATATATATATATACACACACACACACAAAACTTTTCCTAAAGCCATGTTTAACGAGACTGTAATAAAAAGATAAAACGTGAAAAAGCAGACTTTTTGAAAATTTTGAAATTATTTCAGTTGCCAATTTGAAAGTAACTGCCATTTCGTAAGGTCACGGGAAGGAGATTGTGTGCCAATCCTCAAACTGTTGAGACACTGAGACACACATTCCTCCTCGTTTTACACGCGGCTTTAACCTCAAGGTTGCATTTCATAGGCAGATGCCCGCGACTTTTGATAAGTTTACCGGCACGCAGCAATTGTTTGTCGGTATCCATGCCGACACGTACCGGCTGAAAAAAGCGTTGTACGTACATGTGTATAGACTTAGTCAAATCTTTTGATATCTGACGAAAATTGCATCTCCTTATCCTGTTAAGTGCCGCAGAAGTGGGAACGCAGAGCCATCAATCATGGACAAGCAGCTGGAACGAAACTTAGAAGCACAGACTTGCTCATGGCTTGAGCGCTCTTGTTTTCTCTTTTCCCCCTCACGGTATGGAGCACAGAAAGGCAAGAGCCGAGAAAAGCGATTTTAAAAGCAATTTGACAACGGCTGACTCATTATACCAAAACTATTTTGTGCATTTTCCGATGTTATGTCACATAGGCCTCTATGGCGTTTTGGAAACCGACTCCACTCTTGTTGTTAACAAACTGACAGATGTTTTGCTAATTTTTATTTGCACAGATGATTATCTTGTGAATTGTACCAGTTTATTCCCTTCGA